GCTTTATTCTCGGCATGGAATGTATATACTTGTGACTTCTCATTGATTTCTACTCCTCCAAAACTTCGTTAATTTGATATTGCGCGTGTCGCCTAGCTTATATCATACTCGCCTTGACAGATTAACTTTGAACTTCACCGGCGTGTAATGCGTATTATCGTAGCCAAAAGTACCCACTGAATGCAATTATAATTATTATCACAATAAAGTGACAATAATATCAAATCGAAACCGGACCCTGGATTTCTTTAGATATAGGCGAAGAATATCACCAAGGAGGTAGACATAGTAACATTAGTATACCAGGTGATCGTCTAGTCGCGATACCTATAACACACCTGTAATAATCTTCTCTTTGATATTGGCTATTCTGTGTTTCACTTTGCCCCCAAGTGTGACCTAATGCCCGCCCCACGCAATTCCGAATCAGGTGTCGCCCGAATCCCCTATAGGTGTTCGACTTATGACCTCTGTATGATGACTGTCCCGGTTACAGAGGACCTACAGATTGCTTTCGTCTAGCAAAGGACGACCAAACATGCCCCGGGGATGTATGCTTTGTAGCGAAATAATAAGTGACCCCAATACAATCGTTCGCTAATTTATGTTGAAACCATAATGGAAACGAAAATAGACCCGTAGTTCGCCCTTGAGTGTTGGGCCACTGTATATATTTCAGATAGGTGGATGTCCTAAAGATTTTGTGTTTGCCATCAAGGTAAATTGGTTCTGTCGCAAAATTGTGACGAATATCTTATCACTCACTGGTATTAGTAGTCACGGAGTGGCATTTTAATACATACATTTTTTTATAAGAACACATTTTATAAGAACACTGAGGCTGAAAAAACAAAATAAGAACAAATTGAGGCTGAGCAAAATATGAAAGAAATAATCAGAACATGTGGTTGTCGGTTGCCGCGGTTCAGGCTTTTAATCCTGTGGCGATGGCGTTCAATCGCTGTGCATTTCTCTTGTACCTGGAAAATGTGTTTTAGGTACATCGTGGGCTCTCCACCAACGAGTATAAATAGGTACCTTGGAAGTTGTGGCATTGGCAGTGGCGTAGCCATGTGGCCAGAGGGGGCCAGGACCCCCAGATTTTAGCCTCCCCACATAATATCACGGACCCACGTTTCCCCCACCCCCACAGAAATATTCTGGCTACGCTGGGCATTGGATGTATGCCTATGTTCGTACTATGTATTAGAGCACAACTTGTTATTCCCCAACAGAGCTGATAAAATTTGCACTTTGTTTGACGTTTGGGATAGAAAGGCAAGCAATTATGCCTACGACAGAAAATATCAAACATCTCAGCTCGACGGAGAGGTTATGCCCTGTAGCATGGTCTATAGTGAAGTGTGAAACTCGACCAGCCCTCTTACAGAACTCCAAAGAAGGAGAGAAGCCACCACTCATCTACAAACCGTTTTCGTTAATTCCCGGGTAGTATTATATACACCTGGTTAATTTGAGTTTAATAATATGAACCAATATTGTATCAAAGTTGACTGATCGGGCAGATAGGCGTACCGCCGTAGGCCCTGCATCGGTAACCTGAGTTGGTTGCACCAGGATCAAGGATGGAGGCCCAAAATAGAACCTCAATTTTTGACAGCTTTGCAAAAATGATTACGGTATAAGTTGACCCATGAGAATGTCATTCTATCGAAAATTCTTATGATGTTGCAGTGTAGTATTTTGATTAAAATTTAGATATTCTAAAAATAGTTAAAGATTTAATCTTTAAATGAACTGATGGTGTTTCACCATCTTTATTATTTTTGCGATTCATAACTTTACGTCCGCGGGACGCCGGTTGGAAATACATTTTTTTTCTTGCTTTCTTTCTTGAGAATTAACTAAAATGCGTCAGTACACACCGTAGGCCTGTTATTACTTTAAAAGAGATTTTCAGTTTTGCTGGCAAATTTGTAACGGTGTGCAGTATCTTACAGGCAGACTTCGAAGGAAAAGAAAGTTTTTATATTTTGTAGAACTGATTTTTTTTCTACGACACAAAAAGCATATTTGACGAAAAACTCGGAAGCGGTAATGAGATACAGATTTTGTAATAATTATTTAAAAACAGATTTTGTAATAATTATTTTTTTCGTCAAATAATAGGCCTGTCTCCGAAAAATCAGTTCCTTCGGAGCCAGGCTGTAAGCACATTTTGTGTTAATTTACGAATATGCACACACGCATAAATTTTCAACCAATCGTCCCAAATATCGTTACCAATATCTGGTAATCACATACCGGTTCATTCGTTTAATTAGTTACATTCCATGCATCAAAGGAAAAAGGAACGTGTCATCAACAAGAAACGGAATAGTTAGTGTTGCATTACTTCTGTGGATTTGAACCCCGAAAAGGAGAAGTGTCAAATGATAAAAGCGGTTGGGTCGGTAATTAAATGATTCGAACACCGACACATTACATCCGAATAAAACTGCGATGAAGTTTGGACCACGAAAGATGAGCGTTCAGTTCACGCCTGACCCGGATATTAATAATCGAATCCCACGGACAATTTGGTGTGATTTTCCACCAAATTACCCCCAAACAGAGAAAACATATGCCTTAGTTTACGGTGGCGTCGGGTGGCATATGGGCCTCGTTTGCTCCACGACACACTCTCATACCAGTTATATTCAAAACGTTTTTAAAATCATCATTAACATCGTTTGATATGTGGTATTTATGGTTAAATGATAATTCACGTGGTAATGAAAAGAATGTGTTGGGAACCAACTTCATTACAAACTAATCACACGTTCACTTAATTCATTCCGGTTTTATGTCGTAATTTATTTATTTATTAATTTGTTATGGGTGACATGAATTGACCTTGAGTCCTGGTTTTACAGAAATTAGTACTACATTTTATATTACTCATTTTGTATACTGATACTATATAATATTACAAAATACAGGATTGTGTAGATACGGCGACCTGTATTTGATAATATTGAGCATTATGATCTGGTAATCGAAATAAATTGGCGTGTTACGTTTTAGGCACAAGGATTTCTAGATTTGAATTTAAAAAAAAAATGATATAGGCCTCAAAATAAGAATTAAAAAAATTTAAAGTATACAACCCCAAGCAATAAACTTAAAAGTCAATATGGAGCAAAATCTTTTCTCGCAAACAAGTTGACAGCTTCGGTCGCGTACAACCCGCCACCGTTCACGTGGTCCACACTCTCGTCGGTCGACGGTGGACCAACTCAAGTTGAGTTTCACACAAGGTTGCGTACTCAAAAACCCCAGTTATAATCCCAGTTTAGTCGATGTAGCATAAGTTATAGTTATATAATGTACTTGTATGATTGTTAAGGTTTGCAGGAGGGGTTGTCCCATTGGACCTTCGATCTATGAACTCTTCCATCTACATTTTATCCCTAAAATATGGTGATTTTAGGTGATTTTTAAATTGAACGTAATTTTTTTTTTTTTTTGGGTGGGAGGAGACTGGTGCCCTCCCCTAGATACGCCACTGGTCCTCATCCCCGTCATGGAAACACTTTCGAAAATTTGAGATTATCAGATTTTAAACATACGTTTGTGTCGGTCTAACCATTTATTGAGATTGTAATTCCTAATATTGTTTTCTAAAACTACTATTTTTATCCTGAACCATAAAATCTCTCCTTAACCCACACCAGATCGGAGTTTTACACAGGACACATTGGACTGAGGCGCTAGAGGTGGCTCCCTTGCCCAAACCCGCTGTCGGATATTTTAGACTCCTCTTGACTTCTATGTTTCTGTTTTATATAGGACTCAAAATATATGCAAACGGGTATGTAAACCCGAAAAGAACATGTAGGCCTACCTATGACTCACTGCCATTCACGGGATGGATTCTGTTTGTCCACAGGTGAACGTGTCGTCTGCACATCCGCATCCGCATGTTCGCAGAAAGCAGACGATAGTAATTCATAATGAATCGTAGCCTGCTACTCGTTAGGCTTTGGGGGTTACATTTGGCAGTTGATGCGGTGGAAATGTGGCTATTATTCATAGCCTGTTTTTTGACAAAAGTTTTCTCGGAATCTGCGAAATCTCCAGCAATTGCAATGTTTTATATCAGACATGTCAAAAAATCATATCATGGTAGAACAGCTTTGAAATCACATGATGCTAACATTAAGGTTCCGGTGAATTTAGAGAATTTCAATTTAATGTCAACGTAAGAAAACCCCTCTGTTTCCATCTTCATTTCCCGTACATCAAATCCACAATTTCTCGGGACGTCAATGTTAAATTTTTTAAAAATGTTTTATTAAACGTAGGCCCTAACGATATGACACTACGATTTCACCTAAATACCAAGAAGATTGATACCGTGGGTCTACCTCCCAGGTATGCGGCCCCGGGGCTCGTTTGCCAGTCTATTTTAATTGCTCTATTCACAACCAGCCAATGCTTTTATAAACGGGATTTTTCCTCAAATTTAAAATGCCGATAATTATAGGGCGCTTCACTTCAAAGAATAGAACTAGTCATTGATGATTGATGGTTGATCAGATTATGCTACTTTATAATGGAACTTTTATGGAACTATTTTACCGCGATTGTGCTGACGATGCATTGTGAAGTCATAATGAGTATCTCTTCTATAACCGCTTTTTCTTCAAAAGAAACCTATTCATAACCATAGGCTATTAACAATCGTTTAAGTGCCAATACCAAGCTTCCGTGTCGAGTATTCATTTACCAGATCTTACGTTTCAGTACCAATTATATAATTCCATCAAAATCGTCTCATCTTCGTTTCTTGGATCGTGTACCCACAATAGCCCCGAGCGCTACGTGGTCACACTTACGCACTCGACGCAGCGTTAAACGCACCCGACGCGTTCCATCACTGGTCGATGATATCCCAACAGTCTATCCTAACCTTGGGTAATCTACGTTAAAATAGCTATGGCATCAGTCATATATACAGATAGTAATTTTTTTTTAAACAGAGTGAGTTAACTTACCTGGTATCGCACGAGAGGCGTCTGGTATGCCTTTGGTTCATAGTAAATTCGTTCGCGTCTATCAGTCGAAATATCTCCGAGAAATAGTTCTTGCCGCAATGTGAACTCTTTCGTGTGTTCATTGTACACTCGATGAACCTCCTGCTTAAGTACCTCCAGTTCATGAATGGAAATAGCAAGACCCTCAGTGCATATAATGATCACGTCATCCTGTGTCCAGTCGAACAAGACATACCTCTTGAACAACTTCATCGCCTCACTCTCACGGAAGTAACCCGGACAAGTTTCGTTGATACCCTCCATCAACTTCATACTCGTATCAGTGTCGTACGCCACAAGAACTATTTTGTCTATTTCGTAGGACGACCGCGTAGCACCTTGAGGCGCTGAAGATGTGATTTCGTATTGATCTTGAACGTGCGATATCTTTCCGCGCACTCGAAGTGTGTGCGTTGGTTTGGTACAGGAACTATCTTTGTAGTAGAACTGATGAAGCATATACGAGTTATCGGAATGGAACTTGTAACGCCTTATGATGAACTCTGGGCCTGGTCTTACTTCGCAACTGTAAAGAGATGTGACATTATTTAATTAGTAAATAAATTCATTCATTCATTCTCTCAATATTCATGTATCCATTTGCTCTTCCATTCATCCATCTATTTATGTATTCATGCAGTTATTTATTAAACAGTTATTCATGTTATAGTTTTAATATTTGTGATTCGACACTAAATCATTCGAAATGAATGTACAACCGAAGTAATTTAACTATGAAAGGCATGCCTGCACAGATTATACCGATAAGAATAGAGTCTATAAATGAGGATGAAAAGATGCAGACACGTATAGGTGTCATCATTTCCATCATTTTTATTACAAATATTTTAAATCTATCAGATCACTATTATTTGGATGTTGCAGACGATGATCAGACAATGCAAACATAGTTTCAATTGCGGGTAAGGGAAAGTGCAGGCGATGTCGTCGACATAGCTGTGAATTGTCGTATCGCCACAGAGGGTCCGATAAAGCGGTTGCCTGAAACGTGACTTTCTTATGTCAGTCCCGTTTTGTTTCTATACCTTGATACATAAGTTCCACCACGCCTCGGGGCTTTCAACCAACGTGCCAAAATACTAATTTGTTTTCAGTTTGTCATGGGTAGGTCGAAGCTGAATATTATATTAATGCATTAACTGAAAGCCGCCGAAAATTATGGTGCGACACAAATTTCTACAACACTTATGGAGCCAAATTTCAGAAATATCTGTTAATCACCTTGATTCAAACAAATATGAACCTAACAGCTTTTAAAGAACCTGCAAGTAGAGGAACTTTTAGAAATTTCAGCACAAACGCATACAACAATAACGCACGAGAAATTGCGTGTACATTTAATCATTGTAAGTAGCCTCAGTCGGGCTACAAAATAGCTGTTATTCACTAGTACGGTAAATAATATGGTAACACAAGTGCGAAATATTATTCACGTTACATCTATGGAATTAACTTTCTATCAATTAATATTGTCCTTCTTAAACTTATAAACTTAAGAATATATTTGGTTATACTTTAAAAATTAAACTTATTAATTAGCTTTCAATATTGAAAATTCGAAGAAGAAAATTATTTCCTGGACAATTAACAGCTTGATAATTTATACCGTTCCTATTTTTGTAGAGCATTTTATTGGTTGAATATAAATGTAATAGTTTTCGTAGTAAAAAGTCTGCGTCCTAACATTGCAAAACTGGACTGTTTTGATCCGGGTCTCGTGCGAACTAGACAACTTATTTAAGCTGCATTCACATCTGATCCGAACTGGGATTCGGACCACGTTTCGGATGCGCTGAACACCAGCGTCCCTATTCTTACATATTGATTCGGATTTTCTGATCGGTTTGGGAAGATTTCCGATACGAAAATTCGGTTTCGGTTGTGTAAATGAGGTTTTAATGCTTATAAATGAGCAATTCATTGTTTATTGAATGTCTGAAGAAGTTTGTCAGATTTTTCTTCAGAAATTAGGCCCATCTGCGAGCTATCGATACATCATTAATAAACGAAGTCCAACAATACTGTTCTTATCAATAGTCTATCTTCGACTGTCGCTTGTGCCTATTCTGTCATTCTTACCTCTTGGAACAACATGTAGTAACGTGAAACAAATTAAATCGGTTATTACATCACGAACAGATAGATGTCGCTTATATAGCCTACTGGTAACATGTTTATACTCTTGAATATAAAAAACGAGACGATAATTAATTTTATAATTTTAGGACAAATTAGTGAATTTTGTAGATCTCACAACCTCAGGATTACACTACTTAATGGTCAATTGACCGTACTTACGGGGTCGATACGGTTCAAGGCGACACGTCTTTAAGCTCGACCATAGGGAATGATCATAAATAGAACAGATGCAGTCGACATTTATGAACTGGCACAAATCAAAACCTATCGAAATTTATTCATATTATGCATTTCATATTTTTGGCAAGGTTGTACTATGAAACTATGAATTAACGAAACAGAAATTTGCGAGTGTGGTCGACTTGTGCGGCCGTGTAACGTCATCAATTCGCAGCACTCTGCCAAGACGGCAACTGTGTTGCGATTCAGAAAAATTATCTTCGTCACTGTGAACCGGTGCGCGCCCAAATGTTCTTAACGTGACATCATCTGAAATTGTTTTGTTTGGATGGAGGGAGTACAGTAATGAACATACATGTGACAATGAATCGTACAGATCAACTCTACGTGGCTTTTGGACGTTCTACAAGGAACACTAAGGTCGGTGGATCTGTCAATCGAGATATCCGAATTACTTCACCGTCGTTCTGAAATTGGGTCGTATACGATGACACATCTGCCCTTGTTCATCTGAACGAATAAACTTCTGTTTGAAATCTATATTAAATAATAACGTAATCAAGAATTTACAATTTCCCAAGCGAAATATCTCAAGGGTTGTTCAAGTAGTTCAGATCGGTGTTTCGACTGTAGAAAGTAATCTATTACGTGAGTATAAGGGGAAGTCAACACAGAAACCCCACGACCACCTAAAAAAATTAGAACATATGTAATATAGACCTTGATAACACTGCTGTCCGATGGGACATTGCACGTCCGCCACGCAGTGTGACGTTGACGGGCTCAGGTAATTCAGCCGTCCGAATAATCCAAATAGCAGCTGTACTCTACCCCTTCCCCACCCCTTCCCCTAAATCCAACACACAGTATCAACAGTGGACCTATGCTCTTCAAATCATTTCATTCGTCATAATATAGTTTGCTATAGACTGGGTAAAATTGGTCGTGTTTCTCTTTTTCATAGGCACATGTCATGTTCCACCAACCCAACAACAGAGATCTTATATGTAACTCAGCTATTGGCTAGACCAGAGGCTAGACTCACTTAAAAACCACACTAACAGATATAATTACAATTATCTAATCAATTGCATTACTGTACCGAACTAACCCACACATCGAGCTGCGGCCTTGGCCTTGTGTTGCCGTATCCTCGTTTGTTCGTCGTGGTCTGGTTGTGTCTGAATGTGCTTCTTTTGACTTTAAAGCTCTGGAATCAATGTAATTAAGCCCTCATACTAATGATTTAAATTTTAGTTTTCTTTCATCTCAATGGAATTCTATTTATTATTTCTTATATTACAACACAAATGTAAATTCAATATGTACTTTTCTCTCTGTTGACTCACGATTTGCATGGCATATATATGAATAACTTGTTTAATGACGTCATTAAATAGGGCTGCCAATTGACTTTCAACATGGGTAAAAATTTAACATCTGATGTTCTTGACACTGAGGACGGGCCATCCTATAACGATGAAAAATATATGTTACATATTTAGATTCTTATCGGTGTGTTTAATGGGCGAAGCTGTTGTGACCAACGATATTTAATTTTGTCGGAACCTTTTATTCAATTGGTGCTGTAATGGATAGTATCTTTTACACGCTGGTTCTAGGCAGCGCTGATTGAGACAATCGTTCGATGACAGACGGCTGCCGGGCTTCATTTCGCCCGCGATGCTTGACGAATCTACGAACGTGTTCTAAGTACCTTGGCTATATAGCTATCGTGACGTCTTCCCGGCCATTGCAAAGTTCAGAATCCCAACTCCTACAGATTTGTAATTACTATCAAAAGGAGGAGGAGGAGGTTAAATGTTGACGTCATGCAGAAAAGATTGAAATTGATTGTGAACACCGACGGCATACAGCACCAGCGTGCAGTCCCATCTTATTTAAATATTTAAATCAGTATAGGCCTAACCTGAACTTTCAAATTTGTTTTCCTCCGTTTTTGATACATGTTAATTTAGCATTCATTATTTAATTATCGTATTTAGATGCTGGACTTAGGCTAATCCTTATACCTTATGACTCAATAATATGGCTACGTGTAAGATTTGATTGTTTAATTTAATTTCATCAATATAAACATAATTGTTTTATTTTGGCAAAGAAAAATTATTTAAAATCGAAAGATTATTTAGAGATGCATGATATGATTGTATGAATTGTACCCTTGATGATATTTGTGTTGCTTCTCGTTTACTTTGTTAATTTTATATTGATAAAATTATGTTTAATTTTCCTTCTTTGATATTGCCTATGGCCTATAGGCCCGAGTTGCATTTTTAGTTTTATACTGGCTCCAAGAAGTTTAATTAAATTGATACGATGTTTGAAACACTACAGAAATAAATATAATCAAAGTTGGTTCACACTAGAGTAGTTGATGAGCGTAAACAATGTTCCATGCGCGCGCGCCATCAACGCGTGTAAATTGCAATGTGAAAGCAAAATTTAAGCTGGAATTTGGGTGGCACATTTCCGATGGAGCCCAATCGTAAAATCTTCACCAACCAAGAAAAATTACAGGTTTAAAAATGGCTAAATTTACAATAATTTGATGAAGCAAAAATTAAAAATCTAAAACCACAGGAAACAGGAAACAATAAATACATTATCAGAAAATGTAATTAAAGTATAGGCCTAGTTAATCATTGCAAACTACAATTAAAATACAAAAATAAACATAAAAATATACATTAAACAGGTTTTTAAAAAAAAGCAGGAATTGCGCTGTAAATTGCAACGAAACCCCGAAGTTTTGAGATTGTTCGTAGTTAAGGTGTTCGCGCTTGATAATCCTAATCCAAACTATATCTCCACGGCAAATAAATTCTGTACGTGATGATAGCAGAAAGACATTGCCTGGATAATAATAAAATATGACATTTGTGCTGCGAAGTCTTATCGGAAAACCACAGAACATGGATACAATAAACTGCTGGTGGAATTTGTGTCAGACTCAAAGTTCACCAAATATATAACATTTTGAAAGTATATACGGTATAGTATTGACAGGGGTTTCAAAACTTATCAAATCAAACATCACACAATTTTTTTCATGAATATTTTAAGGTGTATATAACCTAATGTACAGATTTTGGTCATAAAATTAAATAAGTGAAGTGATACTGGTAAATTTGATTAAGAATAATATCAAGTAGGCTTAACACCAGGCTTAATTATAATTATAATAATATTCCTAATATTAATATCAAATATATTAAATATAAACATAGTTATTAGTTAAGTTGGAGAGACGGCAACTGAACTTCACCCCAACATTGCTCCAACTATTGAAGTTAATAAATAGGGCCAACTACCGAGTATTAAACAGATTTCGAACTAACAGTGAATAATTTCAATCAACACGCTCGCATTTCAACCTCTTCTATGGGATGATGATCACCGATTATCAATAGGCCTAAAGCAATGAACATGAGTATAAGCTCAGTCCCTTTAAGATCGCTCTTTCATCGACAGATGTATGAACAATATATCTGTTTCGATGAGCCGTTTCAAAGCAACCGCACTCGGGTTTCCTCTTGTTGCACAGTTCAACCGACTGCTTACGTCATAAAGTATGTTTACCTGAAGTATGATACCCGATGTTATTGGAAATGAACTAATAATACATATTATCCTTTAAGATGAATACACTTGCTAATTACTTAAAGAAAGTAAGGAAAATTGATTTGTTTATTAGTATTGAACCCCAGTTATCGTATTACCTCAATAATCGATTCGTAAATAATGAATTAACTATTGCAGCATTCATCGGATTTCATTATTTCTGGCTCCACTTGACGAGAGGATGTATTTACCCATTCTTAGAGTCTATTTTGGTACTCAACATATTCTACAAACATGCATTGAACGCGTTGTTGGCTTTAATGGAAATAACTAGGCCTACTGAGTTTGTGCGAATGTTGATGTTTGGGGGAAATGTGTCAACCTGTAGTTATAAGCATTTCATTGTAACATACAATCGTTGTTGTATTCGAATGTTGCATCAATTTGGCTTACAGTGTATAGTTTATCCATTTTAGTATGAGAAGTCTGATGCTCCAAGGTTTATGGGCGTTGATCATAGGAGGGACGAATGACATCTCCCCCTAAAGAATAATATGGGGGACAGTTTCCCTACATTTTGAGATCAAGGTGATTTTTCAGGATAAATGGTAATAGTATTTTTAAATGGGCTTATTATGGTCATTTATAGGGTCTATTGAGTGCCATATCTATACATGTTCGTATCTCGGCCACAACCATGAATGTTTAAGTTGGGTCGTGAACCCTGTATATATCCATCACTATCAACGTAGGCCTATTCACCAAAATTTCATTCAAAATGAATCTGTGTTCTTGCCGGGGGCTTTCGACAATAGGGAAACGCAACAGAAGAGGATATTTACTTCCATTTAATTGTAAAAACTGGCTTTAAATTCTCTTAATTTTCTAAAAATAACAATTCGAATCACACTGGTTTGTCCTTGTTAAAACTTTGTGTTGGGCTACATCGTCTACTTCCTACAATGTTGTTTTATCTCTTTCTTGATTGCCCATTGGGAAGGGGAAACAAGTTATACGGCAATGTATGGAAGTGTATAATAATATATCACAAGGATGATTGATGACATCGGTCTGTCCCAATAAAAAAAAATTATGGATTTATAGGTTTCTTGGTTTACTTGTCTATGCGAACTTAGGATAAAATGTGACGTTTATCACTCAGTCAATTTGTGGATAGACGTAGAAAGAACAAGCAATGCAGCGAGGGTTAATTTCACCTGTGTTTCTGACCTAAATGACGGTTCTGGAAATTAAACGTCTATTTTTAAAACCTAAACTTAATTAGTCTGTCAGAAAGGGGAGGTGATAATGCAGAAGCACTCTGATATACGGAAGGCCGTTTGTCTCAAGCGTGTTGCAGTTGCAGAAAAATATATTAAAAGTTGCTATTTGTGAAATTTTGTTTTATGCAACGTAATTGATAAACAAATAAATAAATACAAACTGGTGCGGATAGATACGGGATAATTAGACCAATTGTCTTAAGTCTAATTTAGCTATGAAGTCCTAGAGTAGCATCCATCGCTTCTGGAGTAGCTTTTTCCAGTCTCCAGTTCAGCAATTTTCAACAGTCTCGCTGGGGGAAACTTTTTTGTAGTCTCGGGCACGGGCCAAATTCTATAATGTATCGGGGTAGTCTCCCAATATTATATAAAGAGGGCTGATCCTTATTTCTAATTTAAATATTGCTACACTTTCCAATGATGTCACCATATAAACTAAGATGTACTTGCGTCTATATGCATACTGTATTCAAGTCTATATTTGTCCATTTTTTACGCACAACTTGGTTTTGCTATGAGTGCCAAAAGGTCGAGAAATTATAGTAACCCGACATGTCTATAGAGACTAAACTGAAACTTTTATTCCCAACGCATTTCCTAAACTCGTTCCTAAACATCCGTCTTGAATTTTTCATAGTGGTCTGACAAATGCAGCCTTGCTGCCTGTCATAACACTAGGCCTACCCTTGGCACTTGGCTTGGTTTTAGACGAACGGGCATTTATCAAGGAATATTCATAGGCCTTACACTTTTTTTTAATAAGAACAGGGAGGCTGAAATTGCTTAAAAATTAAGAACAAATTGAGGCTGAGGTAAAATGTCAATGAGATTTTTATTTTAAAAAGCTAGAACAACCAAAAAAATTATATCTGTACCTTATGTGCTATTCCTCCACGGTGTGACTATGTAATACCCCATATAATACAGTACAGTAGGTGTACCACCTGTCTTTTTTGGGATCATTTTCACCAGGCCTTTTATCTGGGGCCATTTTTTTCTGGGGCCTTTTTTTCTGGGGCCATTTTTTCCGGGGACACTTTTACCTACATTCCAGTACAGTGATACTGGCGTACAATAATTATTTTCTATGTTTGCAAAGTAGGCATATGTAAAATAATTGTGAGCTTGAAAAAAATTCGTAAGAACACTGAGCCTTGGCAAAATTTTACTGGTTCTTAAAAAAAATGTATCTCACCGGTTAGGGCTTATAAATCGATTCGTGTATTTAAAAAAAAAACAGGTCAAAAAAATTCAAAAATGATAGGCCCTAGTGTCATAGAGATTTCATCCTCTCGTGAATTCGGATCCCTGACCCTAATAGAGAATTCGGCCGCCAGGGCAGGGATTTTGTCCGTGTATGAAATTCAGTGGTCTGAGGGCACCAGTAATTATGACGTAATCGTTGAGTTCAAATTCAATGGGAAGTGAGGTATAATATAGAGGTTTAATGTCATCAATTTTATCATTAGGTAACATTTATCTTGTTAGATACTATAGAGTGCAATATTATTACATACACCGGACGTTTTTATGACTAGATATATCCCTCGTAAATTGATGGATTAATCTTAACCTACATTCTCTCAACCGTTTCTAATCGTCATGATTTTTTTGTATAATATATTGTAAATAAATGCAACAGCACAAACAGTATGCAAATGAAGGTATCTTGGATATGGGGAAATAGTGTTAATCCGACTTTTAATCACATCCTGTCAGAAGGCAGTGGCTCATTTTTCAGTAGCGCGTGCGCAGAACTCTTCGTAACTATTGGTTAAAAGTTTCTGTGTTAGATGGGTTTACTGATAAAAGTTTCTGGATTAGGCCACTGTGTTACCGTACTAAACCTCTGGTAGCGGTTCGTGTAAACTGTATAAGCAAATGAAAAAATGGAGGTGGTGGTGTTACTGATGATGATGATGATGATGATGATGATGATGATGATGATGATGATGATGACAACAGTGAAAATAACGATGATAGTGATAATAACGATAATGGTGGTGGTGGTGGTGGTGGTGATGATGTGATAGGTTGGAAATACCCGGTGCGCATTATTTCCACTTTCACCTTTGCACGAGACAATTATTGTGTCCCCCGTCAGTTTTCGTGAGTATTGTAATTCACTTCTTACCCTCACACATTTGCATATGTGGTAACTGTATTTCTACTCCAAACTACGCCCATTACATCATAAGTTAATCTAGGCATATATCCCTTTTTTGTCCAGAAGCGTAGGAATGATAGGACTATCTCCTAATTTGGCTAACATTCGTCAACCCTATACTCAAATATCGCGGTGATATTATCGCATGCATTAACGGCATTACTACAAGGGATATCACTGATCACTTACTTTGATGACATCCATTCGCCGTTGATGTGTGGTGGCGTGAAGAGTGTGACGTCAGTGCTACTGATATGCTGCAGCCTCCGTGTACAGCAGTCGATAGTGTGTTCATAAGTTGTCACTGAATCTGAAACTTGAAGACCCACCTGTCGACACTCAGCAACACAAACCGACAGCAACACTGAAACTAGAAATGTAATTACATGTAAATTGCTACAAAATTAATTGTTAAAATTCTTACATTTTTTTAACATTATGGTTTATGATAGTGGTAAGAGATAAGATAGGGGTGATGATGATGATGATGATGATGATGATGATGATGATGATAATGATGAGGATAATTATAAAGATAATTATAACGCCAAAGGTGATGACAATGATAATGATGGTGGTTATGCTAATGACAATAGTGATGATAATCGCGCTTTGAATGTTAAATTTGATGTTAGTATTGATAGATGTACTTTTTAGGCATCTTACACGTTGGTAGTGATGATGGTGGCAATTAATTTATCCATTCATTATTAAGACATCCGACGGCGTAAACACAATTACAAGATGTGCGTGAATATAAATATCGTTTTATGGACAAAAACAACTTATGCTAAAGACGGATTGAAGATTAATAAAAAGGGCAAAAACTGTTTCGGAAATTTTTATAATTGTATTTAAAAAATCAACTTTTGAGTCCTTTTCTCTTATTTAATTGGATTTTTTAGAGTCGTGGAAATATATGTCACTGTTTGAAGGCTTCTCTAGGCCTTTGGACAACTGACGTGTTTTGTTACACAAACGACCAATTACTGCCCAATTATATGTTTAAAGTTCATGAACAAAATCCAAGCACCTGTCAGAAACTCACTCATTTAGGCCTAAAAGGAAACGCAGTTTATGCTTGCTCGTTTTTTTAAGGTGGATTTTTTTTTCGCAGCTTTGTACTACACATTAAGGAGAAAGTTTCATCCCACTCAACTATAACAGGAAATTGGCACAAGTGCGATGTATGATGTTTACTAATTTACCGAAGAACTCGGTGTTGTCCGACTTGCCAAACGCGATCATAACCCAATCGGCAGCCAAATAGGACTTTTAAACGGAAACAGACCTTTCTCGTGTGACGCATCACACGTAACACATCATGACTTCTATGTGTTTGACATAAAAACACAGAGAAGAACCGCTGAATTGACAAACTTTTAACCTCATTTCGTGTACTGTGACAAATTATTTGGTGTCCCGGGGGAAACTGAGCATTTTGATATTACCGTCAGCTTAGTTTTGTGTTTCAAGTGCGGTTGCTCTTCCCTACCAGTGGCTTAAGCAAATCGAACTTGAATATCATATTTTTTGAAGTGCAAGACTAAGTACGGGCTGTGATCTGAATATAAGAGTTTTGATTTTTATGTTTCGAATTGTTTTACATGGTAAATGGTAGAATTACAAATTATATTTCCTGTACCCTAAATAATAACAAGTCTGCAGATAATTTCAATCATTCGATTAGATCAGGCCAATAATAAATTAAATGTGTGTTCTCTCGGGGGAATGAAACCTGATACGATTTTACCTCCTTCCTGAAAGAGCTAAGCCATATACTTAATACAAATATGAACTGCTGTGTGAAGTTTAAAATCATAAATTATAAATGAAGCTATACGTAAGTATGCATCGAAACCAATCACATGATGGAGTTGAGGGTGTTTATATTATCTAATGGTTTTAAAAGATAAATTGGGACCAGAAATTAATATGATGTAAACTTGCAAAAGATGCAACGTTGATTGTATTTTAAGGGTGTATTTTTTTTCGGACCTAGAATCCCGTGGTCACACCATCTAAACCACACAATTTTTAGCTCCAAGTTCCGAATATTTATTTGGATTACTGATTAAATATCTATAGGCCTAAAGCATTAGGATCTCCCTAAAGGCAAACGGAAAGTAGGGTGGGGGGAATTGGAAAAATATATATAGCCCTGAAGATGTTTGTCAGTTGTGGTCAAGTAGATTCGATCATTGAGGATTATATCATTTAATTATTTGCGCAAATAACATGAGGCTACTTTCAATTTCCATAAGACATGCTATTACACACTATCAGTGAACGAAGGTCATGTCTGTCTGAGTGGTAATAACTTGAGCGTTGTTTAAAAAGTTGTTAACGTTTGGTCTTGAGTTTGTTGAAAAGTAGGACGTTGGCTCTAAAGCCGGGCACTCAGTGTGTCGTACGACGGTCGTGCGACCGTCGTCGGCCGACGAATCTAACTCCACTCCGCTGGGCACTCACTCGACGGACGCGATTCTATGGAGAACGCAACGCCACAACGCGCGCGAAACGGATACCGGTAGTTTTTAATAACGATCCTTTCAGACTACCATCTACGCTTACATGGAACAGAGTTGGATTCTTCGGCCGACGGTCGTACGACGCAGTAAGTGCCCAGCTTTAAACGACGCGACGCCGTCTGCTGATTGTTTGGTGGTGGGCACTTACGCATGCGTCATACGACAATTGTCCGTAGAGTCGCGTCGGCCGACGAGCGTCGGGCGCAGTTAGTGTCCGTTCTTCATTTTTAATAATACTGCAAAATATAACAAATGGAAAATTAGTATAGCGCCTTTCTTGTTTTTGAGTCAAGAAAGTGGAAAATAGTCTGTGCACGTTTAGCGGGGTATGCTCTGATAATCCGTTTGTTTTATGTAACGCGTTAATGATTTAAGGACATTCTTGTTTTTGTTTGTTTTTACTAATGTTGACGTTTAGGGACTTTATGTGGCACGCACCTTATATATGTCACGGCCTTATATCAATATGTAAGAGGTCGCTATATAAATTCATATTATTATAATTGCAACGACAGTTTTAATGTTAAGTTTAGGTACTCGAGCCCCTAGTTTGCAGCCCATTGCCCCCTGTGGACTTCGTATTTTCCTCGGTCTTGGCGACCCTGGCCATAAAGCCACAGTAAGTAGCATAGCAACCTTTGAATCCAAAATCGAAACTGAAATTATGTCTAACTTAAATGAAATGGTAACGTTAGATTAAAAATAACGAAAGACAGATCTCAATTGCACAATTATAGAATAAATTAGTCTATAGGCTTATTTGTAGCACTTTTTTATGTTTTATTGAATTTAATGTGTTTTGTTTGTACACTTACGACTTTCTTTCTTATCATTGTTTAGCCATTCCTGTTCTATATATTTTTTTATATAATGTTTATTTTAAAGACTTCGTAATATTTGTTGTTTAATGGCTTAAGTCAATATTTAGTGGCAATTTACTACTTTCATAATTAACTTTGTGTAAGAAACTATTTTAACTCAGCGAAATGACCTATTTAATCAGCTATTATCGTCTGACGTTATTCATTGAATCTAATCCATGTATAGACTGTATACTAGGTGACTACGAAGGGCATTCAGTTTAAGGTTTCTTATAAACTATCTCATTGACATTCAACTTAATGCCACTTAAACCTGCTGAGCCGATATGGGCTATGTTATCATGGTTCCTGCAATAGATCCATTTTAAGTGTCTACTAAAGAAGTGAGTACTGTATGTGTGCGAGTGTGTTGTATGACAAGTCATACAATTTGCATTATGGGAGCTACACACTGTCTAACCGGATCGTATCCAGAGGGTGCAGCTGCCCCCTCTCTCATTTAGCTGAAATTAAAAGGTATATAAAAGTGAAAGGAGAAATGGCATTTTGACGCAATACCGCCCTATTGTAAAACCTACAATTTGTCTGACTTGTCAAAATTGCTGACTCAGCATTTTTTTTTTGTATTTATATGTAGTAGGTTTGTAATAATTACTATCTACCAGGGAACAGTGTAATTTCACTGTTCCCTGCTATCTACTGATTTTATCCATTGAACCATTTCAGGCCGTTCAGTTCTCACAGTGCGGCCGATTGGACCCTGTCGTCATACGCACCTCATTTAAGCAATATTGAAATAACCATGCGTTTAAAATTAATAATGTGTAATATTGGTCAAGTCTTTCTGGCGCTTGTTAGGCCCTTTGTTGATAATCAGTAGCCATGAAATGTGTTCATCAAGCTCAAACCAGAGATGCCGTACAACAGATACCCACAAACATTCACGGGTATCAGCGCTCACAGTTTTGTACAGTTGGGCCTAAGATTTCAATAAACACAAACATTGATGGAAATACCTACAGGAGCATTAGTTCTAGATGATACTTTTTGTTTTATTAATGGATAATTATGTTAAAGGTTAAAGTTATTCCTTTATATTGCGCAAAATACGAGTCTCTAGGCTCATTCTAACAGTAGGTCTATTATCGTGATTCGTTTTCGTAAATTTCACCTTGCATTAGTAATAGGCCTGCACAGCATGGGCCAGTCTATAAGTACAGCATACGGTACTAATTCCGGTAAACAGGTTTCGTTGTAGCAGTTTTTCGATTCCTTTGCTTTTTTTAAGTGTTTGAGCATGCAGATTAGCTCAGTCGGCTAAACTGGTGGTAGCCACTACCGTACTGTGCGTGCGCTGCGCCGAAACGTGGATATATCCTGGTTCAATCCCCAGCGCTGCCAGGTTCAATCCCCATCGCTGCCTCTCCTTGTATTTCAATTGGAGGGCTCAAATGCAAGTTACGATAGCGCATCGTCTTTCGGAAGAGGCGTTTAAGCCGTTGGTCTCGTGTGCATTATGGCCCGTATGCACGTTAAAGAACACAGTAGGCCTATGCCTACACTATTTGAAAAGAGCAGGGATTGTCTCCAGGTTTTACAGCCCAATCACCACCAGAAAACCCACTTGAAATAAATCTTCTTCAGTTTTTTTTTTTTTGGGCTATCCTTGGTGTTTACACCAAATAAATCCACACATTACTATTGCGATGTTACAGATTAGAAGAGGCGTAAAATGATAAGTTGCAACAATTGCCGGGCAGCGTCACTTGACATTTAACTTGTCATTAAGTTGGTTCATTGTTGTTCATCCATTAGAAAGATGTTTCCGGAAAATTAATGAAACGGATCAATCGGCAATGATTAATTAATATGGGAATCAATCAAGTAAACTGCGTATGAATTCGTTCAACTGGAAATATTATTTGGAGCGAAGTTGTCGCAAGTCGTCAGCCGATTACCGGTGGTTGAAGTTGATTGGGTATTTGATTAAACCAGTTCTACAGAGGGTATCGAGATCCCACTTGCTTTGTGATTTACCGTGCTATTTAAGTAAACTAACTATTGGGTACGCTTGTCCAGAGTATTACATAGGCCTACACCGTAGTTAATGAGTTGGTATAAGTACTGTATAAACATAGGCCTGCATACAGAGTGTATGATGACCTTATATAAGCCTTTACAAATGTAGCTCTTTTACAGCAACACTGACTCAATGAGGCCCTTATAAATATAGATAGGCCTTTGGGTATATGAATATATTTGGAGCTGTTGTACGTACATTTTTTTACAATGTCGAATCGAGAGGTGTTCCAGGTGATGGGGCATGCTTACGTTTGACTATTGCAACTTGCTTTAACGAACTGTTAAGTTTCGTCCACATCTAGAATTTTAGACGCGTTGATGACTGGAGTGAAACCAACCTTATTGATTCTAAAACTTCAGACCACTCTCTGTGACCTATTATTATTGATTATTTTAAAATTCTGGATTCGACACCGTAGCTCATTATTTTAATATACACGCATACGTGAGCGTACGCGCCAGTAAGCACACAAGAATACACATGCGTGCTAAAATGTTGTACAAAATGGTCCTTATTTGAGAAATAAGTGGTTAGCGTTCGATATGTATTAAGTTAAAAATAACATCGTACACTTTGAACAATACATTTACGAGGAAGTATTTTTTCCGAAAGTACTTCATTCTAAACTATATATTTAATTATAGTATATATTGAACTACTTTTTATAAAATTTACTAAATATATTATTACATTTTCTCAAAATAATCAACTTACCGTCGCCATTCTAATTTACCTGGATAAGTTATTGTATATATTTACCATTGAAATCTAAGCATTTAAGGAAAATAAGAAACAACATTTTATTCCCGCGAGATGGGTTGTAATGATTAAAAGAACAAGACTATAATTATACTGTAACCAACGGCATATTATTTTAAACGCCCACGCAACAGTAAGTAATAATTAGAAAATATAGGTAGCCCTACCCTGTCATTGAATATTGCTATCGGGGCAATAACAATGTGTGGGCTAGATGGCAAAAAATTTGGGAAACTTTACACCATGTTATTAGTTTTTTCTTCCTTTTTATAGTAAAGCCTAAAATCGTAAATATCGCATTTGCGTTGTTTGTCAATCGGTATTTTAGCTGTAAATTTAATCTGTGGGTTTAATTTTTATCCTACTACATCAAAAACGTGCTGATGTTCCGATAGTAGTAGCGTTTTCAGCACGAATAACTTCTTAATTAGTTAACAGATTATTAGGAATCTTGTAGGGATCTCACGGTGGTTTTCTATAGGACCAAGGCTGTAGTGATTCTAGCCGCTGTTTTTTTTTATATTAATGCAATGTCCTGGATAGGTTTTTCAATGGGACGAACTGGAACCAAGTTATTTGAGGGTGTGACCAACTGCTGAGGTTGTAAGGAAGTTAAGCCCCTCAACCGTGCCAATAGTCACGTATAATGACGTCACTATGACGTCATTAATGGCCTGTAAACACAAAGTGTCAATGTTAAATAACATTTAATTGATTATTGCCGATTGAAAGTTGTTTATCTTGAGGCTATTGCCGCTGATCGTCCGTGAGAAACATGTTTTGTAGACTATAAAGGAAATAACAATTGATTTTACTATGACTCGAACCTGGCACTAAAATGTACGCAACGAGCACTAAATGGATTATTTCTTTTCTCAGCAACTAGTAAGAATGATCTTAGTGAAATGATATATAATGATAATGAAAATAAATAATTTAAAATAGCAATAATTAGCCAAAACGAGGAGGAACGTTCCTCTTTGAAGCCGCACTGACAATCTGAACACTGTGCTTGTATATGCTTACATGGTTAAATGCGACAATCTGTGTGTTTCTTTATTTTATTTGTGACTCGCTCAAGAAAGAAATATTGATAGAGTACTAGATGATAAAGAACCCTATGTTATTGGTTGGGAGGGTTTTTAGTGCTTTAATTCGTTTTTACCCATTAACTATACCTTTAACCTCATTCAGATACCGTAGTTGACATGGACGTCCTAAAAAAAAAAATGTTGACAATTGAAATCTTATCGTCATCGCTTATTATAATACGTAGGGCCACCACGCTTCTGAATTTTTATTTCATTCCCAAATCAATTAATTACGCCGGTGCACGCGTCAAGTGAAGGAAAGTGACAACTTAAATGCGTTATGAAGATATAAAATTATGCTTTACAATCCCAATGCATACTCACGAAGGTTGAACACATAGGTCTAGGCTAGGGCCTCACTCTGATTTTGGAAACTGAGCGTGTACCGCAATTGCGCATTGACAGTATTCAACGTGCTATTGGCCTATTGCATTCCGGTAGCGCAAGCACTGAAACCACAGAAAATCTACAAATAAAAGTGCTTTATAAAATTTTTCAATTTACAAAAGCAGCGAAAATATTTTATTCATATTTTCAGGTAGAACACCTAATCATTTCAAGCGGAAATTAGAGATCGCCCCTGGAGCACACTGTTCCACATCGACCTTCCGGTTTAACACTGAGCCGGTGAATTATTCGGCAGTTAATCGTGCAAATGGAGCTCCGCGCCCCGAAGTGGATTTTATATTGAACAGTGGTGACAGTGCCTGAAGATTCGAAATGTCAACGGATCAGGATCTAGGATCTATACAAAGACGATAACTGCAAGTGCCTCGGTTTAAATGCCCCCGTAATGATCAAGGTTATAGATGCTAAATCTGTAGCAAGGTATTACGTACGCCAGTTACGCACTATAAATCATACGGTTTATATAGATGTCATCCCAGTCAAAATAGAAGCGTAATATACTACCAGAGGTCTTACTGTCCATTGCGAGTACACGTGAGATAAATCACTAGGCAGAGGATCTTGAATAGATGAGACTGGGGATATTCATGTATAAATATCCTCTTATATACATACATTAACTGAGTCGTATATTTTATTCGCCTCCTCCTACACGCTCATTTGAGAAATGGCAAGATTTGGTTTTATGTCATTTGCAAATACCTTCAAAATTCAACAACATAACTGCACATTTGAAAAGGTTCATATAAGCTTTGCAACTTATCATGAAGAATCAAGAGCTTTAATCTTTGTTTTGCCCATTTTTTATTAGTTCGTTAGTACTTGGGTTTTTTGTCTTTTAAATGTGATTTTGATGTTTAGAATATATATTAGGATTATTATGTCAAAAAAAAAAAAAAAAAAAAAAAAAAAAAAGCTTAATAAATAAAAAAAAAAAAAAATCCGGAGACACAGTCGAGAAGAATTAAGTTTTTGTTGATTTAACTTTTACTAAAAATAATCCTTAAAAAGCCAATTTAAGGGTCTGGAAAGAATATACGCAACATTATTAACGTCGTCTGTCAATTGGTGAAAAAAAGTCTTGATATACCAGTATTGTTTTTTAAATAAGGTACCGGTACTTAAATATACAAGTAACCATTTTCAAATATTGAATTATATTCTGCAAGTCAACTAAACTAAACAAACATAGTATATCGTTACATTGTACAGTAATTTGTTAGCGTGCTACACATAGTTGAAAATTAAGGATAACAAATAATATATATTTGCAGAGTACGGTAACTTACCTAGTAATAAACGCCAACAAGCGATTCTGAGAATTTCCATTGTTAAAATTATGTTGGGAATGGTATATACGGTATGCAATATAAAAACTCTTTCCTTTAAATTGTCAAACAGAATCCTCACAGGCCTAGAGCACTGTGTATGTTTGAGTTTCCCTTTAAAATCTCACTTTTCGGCTTGTCGTCTCTCTATAAAACATGTGTTAACTTGTTCAGATATATAATCAAAAAAGCCTCAATGTAACTCCAACAAAGAAAATCTGACAGAAAGTGCATGAAAAATTGAAAATTAGATTTGTTTTATTGTATATCGGAATCTTCAGTGGTAATCAGTGGGAGTGGCCTATCTTACTCCGCTTTCAAATCAAATAGCATCAAGCGCAGACGATGACTGTTGGTTGGTCTTCAGTGTCCGGCCAATAAATACCAGTAAAGCGGTGATCAACAGGCCAGTTCTTTATCATAATGATTGAGAGTTAACAGACCAAATATTTTATATTACTCACTGCGTAAATTGAGGGCGATATGTTACTCGAGTCCTAATCCCGCTGTTCTGGTGCCTTGCAGAACTTAGGTTTAGCCTCGTTTTGGGGTATTTGCTCTTGGCGGTGATGTATCCTGATGACAATTTGAAGAAGGCGGAGCTATCGGTCAATTATCAATCTATGTATTCATTCCATGTCATTTTTTCCGCATCACTGAGTGTTTAAAATGCCAAGGTTAGTTCATTTCGATGTTCTTCCATTTCTCACATAAAATCCGTATACTTAATTCTTCACTGATGATTAAATAATATTGCGTAACAAGGTCCAATTATTAATTGTAAGCGAAGTCTGCTATTCTATCGTGTATCCCAGCTTACCGTATTACAAGAACATATACAAACCTATAAAGTGGATACAAATCCACACACATCATTCACTTACAACTATACAATCGTAACATCGTTCCAAGCTATCGGGTTTGTGATTGGTGGATAACTTTGGAATGATACATTTTGAGATCAGGGGCGAATTTAGGCGTTTAGAAAAAGCCTGCTCATTGTACCCCCAGCCTTAAAACGAAAGTGAACTATCAACCTAGATATGAGTGATAAATTTTCTTTATCGACTATTTGAAATATAAAAATCCGTTTTACTCTCGATCGCTTGATATTATCTATATACCGCATAATGGTATAGTCCATATATGTAGGCGTGTCTTTAACATTCTAAGTGATTTCAGGTGGCGTTGAGTCGCATCGTAAAGATTTTTAAGTTCAAGCTTAAGTACAGCATAGCAATACGTTTCCATGCGAGCTCATTCCTATCCTATTGTCCCGGGGCATCCAATCGAGGGTGGAGATAATTTGGAAACTTCTCCACCCCATGTGGTTTGTGGACTGTTCGTCGATTGTTACATTAGGCCTACCATAGTATCAGCCTATTTCAATATGCTTAAGCTCAACGAGTTAACGTAGGTCACTGGTAGCTGCACTATATACAGTTTTTTCATTACATTCTTTATCAACGCATTGGGATTCCTACATGCATACAACGAACACTTTATTGATATTTTCAATAATGACCGTCGTCGCACGAAAAGTGAATAGAGGGCGGACTTCTAATACTTGGTGGAATTATTAAATTTGAAGTTGAAGTTGAATAAGTTCCAAACATTCCATTATTAAAACAATAATTGAATATTTAAAATAATCAGATGGCTTATCAAGTTTCAATGAGTAACCGATTTTAGGTTCATTCATATACAGATAATAATTTTTACTATAAAGAAAATGAATTTATATTGAATATCAGTCAATTTAAGTGTGTTTATTAATATTGGGAAGAAAATTATTTTCCGTTCGAATTTACATCATCATTATCATCATTACTACTATAATTATTATTAATATTATTATTATCAATTATGCATAATGACGACAGCGACAATAATCGTCACACTTGATTTAAAGATAATTTCTTGTTTATCATAATTTTTGTTGATTTGAATTGTGAATAATCACGTTTTAAACGATGATTTCGCATAAAATCTATAAAATTTGAAAAGTTTCGCACCATATTTATATCCTCAAGGAAATTTGATTTGTTTTAATGCTTGTCTTAATCATCAACTTCCATAACAGGTCCATCAGCTAAGCCCGAGGCTGTCATTTGACTGACCCATGACCCTACACCAGTGGACAGGGGGACGTCCTGCTATGCTTATCGCTAGCTAAGGCGAAATATTATATCCATTGATGCTAGTCAAACATTCGTTAAAAAATTTACAAATAATTTTGACAGCCAGGTAACTAATCACGTAATATATCGACAACAAATCTCTTTTTCATGTTTCTATATCTCTCTTTTATTTTCTCTGCTCCTCTCTTCTATCTTTCGTCTATCTTTCCATTTGCCGCTACTCCCCTTCCTCTCTCTTGATTCCTTTATCCTCTCTGCTAAATCGCTACCTTGCCCTCTTGCTTACCCTCCCTGCTTTCTATTTTTTCCAACAATTGCCACAGCAACACGAAAATAACAAGAGCATCAACAAAACCAAAAATCATGATGACACGGTGACGATGACGGTGACGGTGGTGGTGATGATGATGATGACATGATGATGACGATGATGATGTTGTTAATGATGATGATTATGATGATAATAATAATACTAATAATAATTGTAAAAATTAGTATGATTGCCTATAATAAACAACGACCAATACAGATATAACATAATGGAACCAATATTTTTGCCTACTATACATCCGTGTTAATGAAATAAAACTTTCTTGGTAGGGAACATATTGGTACTTGGTTGCATGACCAATGACCGTAGTAGCTATTTTGATGACTTCGAACATTTTTTAGTGAATAGGACTGTGATAATGAATGTGGTATGACTGTTTTGGTAACAGGAACGTGTGGTGTCGTGGGATCGCAATATTGGCATCGGCCAGAATTGTTGGTGTGATAAATAGTGGCGCAAGTCCGAGTTTCTAGCTTAATTCACTAGGTAGACATATTTAAAGATAGCCATTGTGACATCAATGGAAAAGTAGACTCAAGGTACTTAATAATTCCTCATTACGCAAGCTCTGACGTCGATGATGATTTGATTATTTGCCAGAAATTTCTATATTTTTATTTGTACAGGTTTCAATAAGCTGGGGTGATCGCCGTGACATAATATAGTGAATTAAGAAGCTTAGTGTTCGATGTACAAGTGTACACGATATTTCATCTACAACTTTCAAGTATGGTTTCTTTGCTCCGATTCACCTGATATCAAATGAAATTAAGCCAGTATGAAAAGGTTAAAGCTAAGTTGAGTAGGCAATTCGTAGAAACACTAAGGTTGCGTCGATTTAGTTGTGAGTTTACCGTCTTCTTTAACAACAACATAATTCGCTTGAAATGTATTGAATGTAGTTAAGAGCGAACTCGGCTTTACGTCATTATAATTTATATGAACATAAGTCTGTAATTTTTCATATACTTTTCCATCATCGATGCATTACTTTAATATATTCTCTATGAATAATAAGCCCGTAAAATAATATTTTAACATGATAATACCATGATAATTATACATAGGCCTAAATTATTATTTTTTTTTTACAATTTTCTATAATTAGTGTTAGTTTGTAGGTGTCCTAAATGTCATTGCTCCCCATTTAGGAACGAACACTAATATCGCACTTGACTAAACTACCAGAGATCCATAAGATACGCCACCTTCTGTGCATCATTTTCAGCTTGCTGGATCTCGATTGAGATACTTGTATATAATATATACATAAATATAAAAAATTAAATTCAACATTTGGAATTGCTTTTTGCCTAAATATGTCCTCTCTGAATAACAAGAACGTAAAATAATATTAACATGTTATTACATAGGCCTAAATGATTGTGTTTTTACAATTTTCTATAATTAGTGTTAGTTTGTAGGTCCTAATGTTCCCGTTTAGGAACGAGGGAGCTTATAATAATCGTTCATTCTAACTGGCCTACTTCTTATATTAACTCTGCTTTAATTCTTCTGTTTTGATTGTATTCGACATTATATATATTTTAAAATACGTTAACAGATTAAAGCATCCCAGCTACGTCCATTTAGCATTAGACCTTATACTAATTGTTCTCTGTTTAGCAGTAAAGTGATATATTTAAAAACCAGTTTACATTTGAGGCGCTATGAATTATTTGTGTAAATTATCTTTTTAAAAATAGGAATGAAGGGTATCAAATCTGTAATTATAACGATCAATCAAGGAGATGGTCACCACACACAAATGTAGGAAATCCATTAGGCATATATCTAATTTATTGTCATTTTCTTTGTCGTTAAGATTAGATTCAAATCGTTTCTGGAAGCTTAAGAAACGACTGTTGTTGTCTTATATTAGCCATGACAATCAATCGTATGGGGTTGAAACTAATCTATTGCTAAAAGTATTCCAGATGTGGGATATTTTCAATCTGATGTTAAATTAAAAACAACCAATGCGCTGCTCACAAACCTCGGTTCTCCCGACATCTGAGAATTAAATTCAAATTAACTTTAATACTATGTTAATAAATAGTTTGTTGCAAACAACATCATCAACACGTACTGCTAAGTCAATGCTAATATTAACAAAGTAATAAGTAATTCGCTTGAGCCGGCTGAACACTTGTTTTGAATCTTGTTAATACTTCGCCCAATGAACGGGTAGTTTTCCCGGAATACAATGTTAATAATGTCACGTGTTAAAACCTACTACAATTAAGCAATGTGACATTGTTGTGGATTTAAGAAAAGTTTATCAATTCAAAGTATGTTTTAAGTTGGCCAATTCTCGGTGTTGTTTCCATTAACTACCTGGGTTTATTGATGATAATTACTTTTTGAGAACTGTTTGCTCGCATTGGGATTTGCACCTAAGAACTTCTGATACCGTTCGGATACTCTACCAACTCACCTATGAGGCGAAGTGGTATACACCTTTTTTTTACCTGGTTTAAGTCCTACCAATGGCTGTCGCCATTTTCTGTGACTGCTCAAGCGGAACGATCGCGCTAGGTGTCAATGTTATGATGAATGAATGATTTTATTGTTAACTGAGATGTGTGACAGGTACAATTATGAGCAATTAGCTTGATTGGATGGTTCAAAATGTTATCTGTGCAGACATCACAGTGATGGAATAGGCTAACCTAGCCCTTTCGCGGGACTTTTGAAATCGGTTAAGGTGGGCCTAGAATAAGGATGATCCCAGCATGCCGCTAAAACTAGTTATTTTGTTCGAAAATTGGTTTCTGAGTAATCACTTACGTATTCTTAAGACTATATCAAGTGGTGATCCAATCCTATTTTGAAAACGAACTAATATTTGGGCCTTTTTCCAGACCTGATGTAGGCCTATATTGTATGTTCTAGTAGCCGTTGCAACCAACCAACCAGTCAAACAAAACACCACAGGCAATCATAAAATATTTCGGGGCAATGCTAAATTACCGCCAGCAATAACTTAAACCGTAAGCTTAACCCTTTTTTTTTCTTTTCTAGCAATCTCAGGATGTACTCCTAACCCTGAACAGGGTAAGTGAGCACCGTATGCCGCATAGGCCTGTAACAGTCACGTGCGATCGGTTCGTCCATGATTATTTAAACATTTAATCATCAACCCTATGTAAAGGATCTCTGATTTAATGAAGCACTTCCCTATGACGTTTTATTGATACTTGAGTTAATCTTCGTCTCACGATTTACATCTAATTCTAATCGTCTGTAGTCTAGGCCCCTATAGCAGTATGCGACGTGAC